AAATTGAGCTACTCTTTTTCAAAAACTAACTCAATTTTCACTTTTGGAATGAGATTCCATTCCAAAAAATTTAGAGAGTATATAGAATTAATATATGCTTTAAATCAACATACATTAATATAAATTAAATGTTATATTAATATATGTTATATTATATGTTATAATATATATTAATATATTAATATATTGAGTTGTCCGGAAAGTTCGTGCCGATTTTGAAGGAAAATTAAAACGCAGAAGATTTAAATTTTTAATTTCATTTATTAAATTTAAATCTTTTGCGACACGAACTTTCCGGACAATCCAATACAAATTATGTGTCTGTATTCATAGTCAGACCTTGTACTTAAGACTAAATGTTCAGCAGCCAATGAAATAATTCGTAGAGTATTTAAAGACAAATTTAAGAAAGCCTTAAATAATGTAAGGCGTGACTATGAATACGAGTGATAATCTTTCATTTCAAATTTTCCGCCGTTAAATCTGTTGCACTTTTTGTACTTAAAATCTTCACTTTCTTTCATCTGAATTTTATTTATTTCATTTTAAATGCATAAATTTTTGGAAATTGTAAACAACGCAAACAAATATCTTATATCTTGTAGATTTTCTTTGCAGCTAATAAAATATATATTTTTGTATTTAAAATGAAATAGGTATATGTTTGATATTTAGTGAAAGCAAAGAAAATATATTTTATAATACAATTTAATGCAGTAATAAACAAAACTATATTCGAAATTTGTCGAAAACGAGGTAGAGAGTTTTAATGCAGTTTTAATGCATTCAATTTAATTCAGTGCCGTGATAAAGAACAAACTTCTTGTCCAGCTGGTTCTATTTGTGATAAGTTTAGTAACACATGGTGGCGGTCTGACGCAAATGCAATATAGTGTTAATACGCGATTCAAGACTCACTTTTTCTCTCGCAAAATACAGACGACATTTTGTGAGACACTTACGAAGGCACGTAGCAAAGGACGTATCGACGCTGCGAGTGACTGCATCAATCGGTGGATTAACACAAAATTAAATATCGATGGAGAAATTGTTAAAACCTGATTACGATGAAACGCATGACACACAGTGCACGTAAATATGCAAGTACATACTTCAGAGTTCAAGATGCTTTAACAGAACTATGGAGTTCGGAAAGCGATTCACAGATGTCTCTTTTACAGTTATTTTTATGGAGTTCTTTGTTTTCTATTCTGGTTGCATTAGTTCAAAACGTGTACACTAATGGTGCAGCCACAATAGAAGGAATAAGAAATAACGATATCAACTTATCAGAAACCGTGTATTCTGATGTATCCGATTTCTGATAAGTTTAAATCTTTATTCTTTATTCCTAATTTTTTATTCTTTATCCTTCTATTTTGACCTTAAAACGTTTTCTATTTTCAAAATGGCGTCAACGATGGTGTTTTTTATTCCAGAATGCAACAGAACTCAGTGCACGAGTTCACTCAGTTCATTGTACTAGCTGCACTAGGTCAGTGCAAGCAGTACAAACATATTAAACAAGTGTACATTAAATCATTCATAAAAAACAGACTTGTACAAATAGTGTGAGAATTGATACTTATTTAGAAGATACCCTTCAACTTCACCTTTAATTTCAGTGAAATTGTGCTCATTTGGTTTTGGTCGTTTTTGCGAAAGAATGAAACGAAAGAATCTGGCTGGTCAAATGTTGTGCCTAGTCTCGCGAACCGAAATATTAAGCATTGAAATTGATGACTATTGAGGTTAGGAAATCTGTCAGATACGAAATATCACGATGAAAGCATGTGCTGCGATTACATTTTCATGCTTTATGGCTACGTGTGCATAGGTTTTTTACTAACTTGCTTTTACAGTGATATATTAACGTTTGTTTATTAATATTCAAATCGTCTTCCTTTCAATGTTTAGAGGTTACAACTTTTCGCACATAGTAAGAACAGAACAAACTTTCGTTTTGAATAAAAATGCATTGAATCAGCCTAATTTCATTAAAATCGGAGATGAAATAACGATTCTAAATAAATATAGACTAAAATACGTGTAGATAGCATTATATTAAGTCGGTGTGACAAATTTTCTGCAAAAATGCAACAAATGAGCATAATTTTATTAAAATTGAAGGTAAGAGGTGTCTTCTAAATAATTATCCGAGAATTTATGAGTAATAAAATGATAAATATATATAAATAATAGTAAGTCTATATATAAAAATATGTTCATTATCTTTAATGAAGAATTTTTTTTAATGGAATTGCATTCATTTTCATCACACTAATACTTTAATGTAAACAATGGGATACTTTTATCTTGCACTAAAACGTTTTTTATTCCTTGTCTGCATGCTTACATTCATCATTTCTGGATTACACTAGTTCAATTCAGTTTTAATGCAATCCTCGTGCAGGAACAGAAAACAAACTTCTTGGTTTGTTCCAGCATGCTCCAATGTGCTCCTGCTACAGCTCCTACTCACTTCAATAAGTGCATTAGAGTGAGTAAATATTATAGTAGGAGCATTTTAGAGCTTGTTAGAGCATGCCGCGCGACAAACTTCTTAATAATATATATGTACACACGCGCGCGCGCGCGCGCGCACGCACGTATATACATATAATAAAGTTTATAATTTAAAATTATTTTTGTTCATTAATATTATGATGTATATTTTATATTTAATTTTTATATTAAATACAAAATAACTTTCACACAGAAAATTACAAATAATTATAAATTCTTTATGATTTATAATATTTATTATATTACACAATTATAT